CTGTGAAGCCAGCGCCCAACACCTGCGCCCAACACCTGCCCTCACACCCGGCCAACAGTGTGCAGGGGTCGCACTAAGGGTGCAGCAACTCCCTGTGGGTAGGGCCATGTCAAGTTAGTACGAAGAGCCACACTCATACGACAGCAGTTCCCAGGAGCTGCGAAAGCCTCTGGATTTCGGAGGCTCGTCACAACATCAAGCTGCTTGTCCAACTCATGCTAAACGATACCCTGGCCAAAGCCAAAAACGGCCAAGCGCAACATCGGAGGGTTTGGGGTATCATGGCTGGAAATCCAACAGCAGAATGTGCTTGCCTCAGCTCCACTAAGCATGACTTGCCGACCTGCCAATAAATACAACAGACAATGTCAGCACTCATGCGCTGCTACTATGTCTCCTATGCAGAGAACTTCCACTCCATAAACACCGCACATACCCAACTTGATCATGGTCTATTCATGGACGCTGTGAAGGGTGCGATCACACTCAAGACGTCGCAGGAGGCAGAGGCTCACAAGCGTAAAGTGGAAGCCGATGCTACTGAGATGCTCCAGCAATACCTCAACCCCTTGCCCATCAATCCCAAGAAGGTGGCGATGTGCACATGTCGGGGTAGACATTTTGCACGAAAGAGGGCGCTCATTACACCGCCATTGTAATGCCCATTACGACCCCTCCGTAGTGCCCATCACGACCCCTCTGCAATGCCTGTTTCCCCCGATGACAAGACATCACCCGGATGTCAAGTCTAGAAAGAGCACACCAACACAGAGCCTCCACATACTTTTTGTGAATGTCTTGGTGGTATCAAAACGTATAATAATAAACGACAAAAAGACTTGAAAGGGATAGTGTCTTTTATAGATAACATGGAAGGCTCAAAATGCTCAAGGTGTTGCAGTAAAAAACAATTGAAGAATTCGTATGCAGCAAGAATGACAAACCATTTGCAAATTGTATTCAATGCAGAGAGAAGAGGAAGGGTTATAATCGTACATGCAAAACTACAGCAACAACTGGTTTATAGCCTTATTTGGGGGGGGGGGGGGGTATTCATCGCACTACAACTGCCCATGAACCTTCAAGTGGCCCTAAACCCTAAACCCCAAACCCTAAACCCTAAAAGCCCTGAACCCCGCAGGCCCCCAGGGAAAACGCCGATGAAACTCCTTCCAACATGCTAATCCTAAACCCTAAACCCTAAACCCTAAACCCCTCCCCCGGATGCCTCGGCGTAGGCGCGGTCGGCGAGGCTGCGAAGGCTTAGCATCTGCTGCAGCTCGAGATGCTGGGAGGTGCCTTGGAGCTTCTGAGGGTCAAGGGTTAAGGGGTTTTAGTTTTTAAGGTTTAGGGCTTCTGAGGGTTTAAGGGCTCCAAACCCAATCCCCAAAACCATCAAAGCCCTCAAGCCCTCGAAAGCCCTGGACCCCACCTGCAATCCCCGAGAAGCCCTTTGAAGCAGTAGGTTCTTGCAGAACCCCAGCATGCTAACCCAAAAAACACTTCAAAGCTCTCGGAGACCCGAAGCCCAAAGACCTATGCCCCTGAAGCCTGAAAAGCCCTTAAGCCCTTAAGCCCTTAAAGCCCTCAAGCTCTTAAGTTAAGCCTTTAGGGTCTGGGAGTCTGGGAGTCTGGGAGTCTGGGGGTTTGGGGTTTGGGGTTTGGGGGTTGGGGGTTGGGGGTTGGGGGTTGGGGGTTGGGGGTTGGGGACTCGGAGCCTGACCACGTGAAGAAGAGACCCATGGGCTTTGTGATGATGCCAGCCCTGCACATTTCATCCCAGCAACACCCCAATAAGTAAAGCCAGCGCGCACACCATGACGTCGCATCGGGATCTCCCAACAGACCGGCCACAATGCAGCCTGCTGGCACGCCGGATCGTGTGGTCTTCGTTGCTTCCGCTATGAAGCGCAGGGATGCAGAGTCCCAAAAAAGGGTATCCCACGTACCATCAGAGAAGCGCAAAGATGCCCACATCAGGACGAGCACACTGCCCGTATGCGAATCGCACGATCCTCGGATGTATTCATCGTGATGCGTTCCAAAGCAACGGCCATCGCCAATAGGAGTCCTAAACCCTAAACCCTAAACCCTAAACCCCAAACCCTAAACCCTAAACCCTAAACCCTAAACCCTAAACCCTAAACCCTCTCTCCTATCCCGCGCGGGTCGGACTTCGAGGGCCCGAACCATTGGACGGTATAGACTGCTCACGCCCAACTCCAAAGTCGTGAACATCGAGGGGCCAGCGCTCCTTAAAGGTTTAGGGTTTGGGGCTTGGGGATTAGGGTTGAGGTTTAGGGGTTAGGTTTAGGGTTGAGGGTTTAGGGTTTAGGGTTTGGGGCTTGGGGATTGGGGTTTAGGTTTAGGGGTTAGGGTTCGGGGCTTAGGGTTGAGGGTTGAGGGTTGAGGGTTGAGGGTTGAGGGTTGAGGGTTGAGGGTTGAGGGTTGAGGGTTGAGGGTTGAGGGTTGAGGGTTGAGGGTTTAGGTTTCAGGGTTTAGGGGGTAGTGTTTAGGGTTCTTGATTTAGGGGGCAACTTCGATGGGAATGAGTATGTTTGAGCAGTTGCCCCAAGACCTCCCAAAACCCTCAGCGATAAACACCATAACCTGAACCCCTAAACCCTCTACCCGCTAATTACTAAACCCTAAAACCCCTAAACCCTAGCCCCCAATTACTAAACCCAAAAACCCCTTAACCCCCAAACCCCAAACCCTGACCCCTAAACCCCCCTAAACACTAAACCTTATAAACCCCTGAACCCTTAAACTCCTAAACCCTAAAACCTAAACCCTAAACCCCAAACTCTAAACCCTAAACCCTAAACCCTACCCCAAACCCTGAACCCTAAACCCCAAACTCTAAACCCCAAACCCCAAACCCGAAACCCCAAACCCTAATAAACCCCAAACCCCAAAACCCTAAACCCCAAACCCTAAACCCTAAACCCCAAACCCTAAACCCCAAACCCTAAACCCTAAACCCTTGGGAACCCGGCCGAGGTCCACGGCCGCGTGGAGGCCCTCGAGAAGCTGCCGCGCGGCAGAGACCCAGCCCGCAAAGGCCTCGGTTTCAGGGGTTTAGGGTTTGGGGTTTGGGGTTTAGGGTTTGGGGTTTGGGGTTTGGGGTTTAGGGTTTAGGGTTTGGGGTTTGGGGTTTGGGGTTTGGGGTTTAGGGTATGGGGTTTAGGGTTTGGGGTTTAGGGTTTAGGGTTTAGGGTTTAGGGTTTAGGGTTTAGGGTTTAGGGTGTAGGGTTTAGGGGTATGCAAAGACTCACCCCACAGCCCTGCCTTTGCCCGGTCGTCCTCCCAGTCTCGCAGCGCGGACCTCGAAGGGCTTCGGGCCACCGAAAATCAAGCGTCTGAGGTTTTGCGGCTTTGGTTGGGATGTTCCCCCTGATACTAACAGTCCTTAGTAGGGATTATAGTACCCCCTACTATAGTCACGATTAAGGTCTGTTAGTATACATGGGAACATCCCAAGGCTTCGGGTTTTAAGGATTAGGGTGTTGGGGTTTCGGGTTTCTAGGGTTCAGGGCTTAGGGCTTTGGATTTTGGGTTTTTCGGGTTTCGGGGTTTCGGGTGTGGAGTTCAAGGTGTACGGTTCGGGAGGTTCAGGGTTTCTAGGGTTAAGGATTTTGGGGTGTCTTAGGGCTTCTGGGTAGTGATAAGCGGGATTGTAAGTAGGGCAACTCCAATTTTACAGTGCTTGGTTATAACCTTACCTTAGGCACTTGCAACCCTACTTATCACTACGCATAAGCCCAAAACATAAACCCCAAACCCAAAAAGACCTAAACCCCAAACCAACAAAAACCCTAAACCCTAAACCCCTAAGCCCCTAAACCTTGGGATGTTCCCCCTTATACTAGCAGGGAGGGGATCTCAGTACCCTCATCTTCTGTTAGTACAAAGCGTAACATCCCAACCTAAACCCTATAAACCCCCAAACCCTAAACCCCAAACCCTAAACCCTAAACCCTGAACCCTAAACCTAAACCCTAACCCCTGTCAACCCGAAGCTGAACCCTCAGGCTCCGGCGCGGACGTCAACCTGCCCAAGTCGCACGACATGGCAGGCAAGTGGCCCGAGGCTGGGTCTGCTGCTCCCCCCTCCCCCCTGCCCTGAAAATTGGCTCGTCTTTCAGGTTTATAGGGTTTAGGGTTTGGGGTTTGGGGTTTAGGGTTTGGGGTTTACGAAGGGTCCACGAGGGTTTATAGGCCAATCAAGGTTCATTGGAGGGTTATCCGGGCTTCTTTTGGTTTAGAGGGCTCATTCGGGTTTATGGGCTTCGTAGAAAGGGAAGAAGGGCCTTATTCGGGTGTACAGGCTTTCTAGGACTTACTGGGGTTATCGGGTTTATAAGATTTGGAGCTATGGGCCGTTCAGAGTTTGGAGGGTGAGGGCTCCTGTGAAAATTGGGTGCGTGCAATGGGGCTGCCCAAAGCTTCGAGCTCTCCAGATGAAGCTGCAAGAGGGCCCCAACGCTTCCAGTCCACCTCTGCGGCTTAAATCTGGCGCCCTAAGGCCTAAACCCCAAACCCCAAACCCTAAACCATAGACCTTAAACCCAAAGCCCTAAACCTGAAACCCTTATCCACAGCCGAGCCCGCCAGAGTCCATGCCTGGGTATAAGGTAAACAGTCTAGGGTTTAGACGAGCCTAGCAGACTCAAGCCTGTGCGCAAGCAGAGAAGCAAGAAAAAAGCCGTAGGAGATCGTCTGAAGTATCAGAAGCCCGTCCGACGGCCGGGAAAAGTTCAACTCGTGTGCCTAACTAACTTTAACAGAGAGGCTAGCTTGTGAATGGCTTCTGCCATATAAATTGTCTTCTTGCTTTCGGAGACGGGCCGCATATCTCTTCTCGATCTTTTCTTGTCGGGCTCTTGAACGGCCTGTGTTCGGTCGGTCCTCAGCTATGTTAAAGCAAGCGCAAAGGGCTGAAATTGAAGGATTTTGGGTTGTGGGGGGGGGGTGAGACCTTCTCCGCCCTGCTCCCTTCAGGAGGTGCTTCTCGTGAGCACCCAGCAGGGCCGGCAGCCTTGTGCTGCCGGCCGGGGCCAGCAGGCGGGAGAAGTGGGAGAGGCTGAGGTGGGAGAGGCAGAGGTCTGCCACTTCCACGCAGGGGCATTGGGGTTCATGGATACATCGCGCAGCTCACGAAGGTCGCTGGGCGGGGAGCACCGGGGCATCAAGGGCGGGGAGGCCGCCCGGGTCGCCAAGGGCGGTGGCGGCGAGGCCGCTCGGGTGATGGGCTCACAGCAGGGCCGTGGGTCATTGCCTTTGGAGATGAAGCGGGGCGCCACGATGCTATGCCCACGAGTGGTGTGGATGTGCAAGGGGCTGTGGCCGCGGGTGGTGTTCATGTGCATTGGGGTGTGCCGGACTGGACAGGTGACCGAGCGCGCCAACGCGGAAGCTGGGGGAAGGAGGAGGCTCCGCGTGGTCTGCAAAGAAGGCGAGAAGAGGAGAGGCTGGCTCACGCGGCGCTGCACCGGGCTCATGAACCGCGGCTCGGGAACTGGGTTCATGAACTGGCAGGTCTGGCGCTGGGCCTCCCGAGCCTTGGCGGTCAGAGACTCTTCTACTCCACAAGGGGTGGGCGCTTAGGGTCCAAAAAATAGAACACAAAACCTTGCTCAAAGAGTGACACCACGTGGCCGCGAGAAGGGTGGGTCCAGCCGTGACCTCGGGCTGGGTCGCATAGGTGCCTGGCTGATAGGTGATCTCTGGGGTGCCTTCAATGCCCGTGTCAGCCAGCTTCTGCACGTCCACGGTGTCCTCCGCCAGGGGAGGGTTTGGGGGTTTTGGGGTTTTGGGTTTAAACACATTCTTGAAGGGCAGTGCTCCTGCCAAAACTGGATTCAGCTCACCGTGCTTTAACCGGAGCTTTCTAGGGAGGCGTTTCAAGCCGTAAGCCGTAAAGCCTAAACACCAAACGCTGAGCCTGAACACCGCTGAATCCTGAACCCCTCACGGCCCCTGAACACCAAAAACGAGAAGCCTCGAAACCCCTAAAGTTTCACCCTAAAGTTTTAACCCCTAAAGTTTGACCCCTAAAGTTGAGGGCCTTAACAGCCTCAAGGCCCTAGACACTACAAGCGAAGCTTTGAACCCTAAACCCCTCAACCCACAACCCCTAAACCCTCCACCCTCAGTCCTAAACCCTAAACCCTAAACCCTAAACCCTAAACCCTAAACACCCTCCACCCTCAGTCCTAAACCCTAAACCCTAAACCCTAAATCCTAAACCCTAAACATAACCCTAAACCCTAAACACCCTCCACCCTCAGTCCTAAACCCTAAACCCTAAATCCTAAACCCTAAACCCTATATAAACCCCGAAAGCCCTCAAGGCCCTCTAAAACCTGCCGGGGGGTCCTGCGGCTTCCCTGCGAACAAGACTTCCGGGGCGCAGCTGTCACCAACCTGCTGCTTGGCGAACTTAGGGTTTAGGGTTTAGGGTTTGGGGTTTAGGGTTTAGGGTTTAGGGGTTAGGGTTTAGGGTTTAGGGTTTAGGGTTTAGGGTTTCTTGGGCGATTCACAGGTAGCCACAAGTGGAGCTATGAGTAGGGCAACGACTACAACAGGTTAGAGCCTTATTTAGAGTAAGTACTTATAGCCCATGAGACTTCAAGTAGCCCTCAACCCTAAACTAAACCCTAAACCTTAAACCCCAAACCAGAAGCCCTACTCTTAAATAACCTACCGGCTCTTAGTAGGGAATGCGGAAGCTGGGTATAGCCGCGTGATGGTTCAATATGTCGACGTCATTTTCAGGGTTTGGGGTTTAGGGCTTCAGGTTTAGGGGTTAGGGTTTAGGGCCCAGGTTTAGGGTTAAGGGGTTAGGGTTGAGGGTTTAGGGGTGAGGGGTTAGGGTTTAGGGCTTGGCGTCGTTACGGGCTTAGGTTGCAGGTTTGCAGGTTTACGTAGGACTTGAGCTGTTCGGGGCTTGGGTGGAAAAAAACTTTTGGGCCCGTCCCTAAACCCCAAACCCTAAACCCCTAAACCCTAGGCCTGGGCCCTTAAAAAGCCTGAACGGGTTTGAGGGCTTAGGGTCTAAGGTTTAGGGTTTACACCCTTCACCATTCTCGGATTCACATGGTAAAGATGCCCAGATCTTCCAAAACCCCTTACTTAAGGAATAAACCCTAACTCATAAAGAGGATCCTCAGTATAAATTAGGGTGTATTCCTTAACTAAGGGGTTTAGGGTTTAGGGTTTGGGGTTTGGGGTTTGGGGTTTGGGGTTTAGGGTTTAGGGTTTAGGGTTTAGGCTCTAGGGTTTGGGTTTGGGGTTTTGGAAGATCTGGGTACTTCCAGGAGGCCTCCGCCTCAACGTCAACCTCTGGCGCTTCCTTGGCCACCGGGTCCTGGGAAGCTTGCGAGCGCAACCTATGGGGGGCTAGCCCTAAACCCTAAACCCACATCCCAAGTAGGGTTTAGGGTTTAGGGTTTAGGTTTAGGGTTTAGGGTTTAGGGTTTAGGGTTTAGGGTTTAGGGTTTATTGTTTAGGGTTTAGAAACCCTAAACCCCAAACCCCAAAACCCACAGAACCCCAATACCCCTAGACCCTCAACCCCTAATCCCTCTACCATTCCAGAAACTGAAATTGGGGATTCCAATGTGCAGTTTAAGGATGCGCCGAACTAAGGGATATGTGGAAGTGCAGGGGTAGTTCTAACTGGGTAACTATAACTGGCTAGCAGCGTATTTAGGGTATTTGTAACCCTACTTAGCTACCCATGAACCTTCAAGTATACGAGCCTCTGGGAGACACTGAACCCCTAAAACCGCAAACCTCCTAACTCAGCGACGGGCAGCAATCAAGGGTTCAGGGTTTAGGGTTCGGGGCTTAGGATTTTAGGGTTCAGGGTTCGGGGATATGGGTCTAGGAGTTTGGGGTTTGGGGTTTGGGTTTTGGGGTTTAGGGTTAGAGTTTAGGGTTTAGGGATCACACTTAAGCCCCCTAAGCTCGAAGCCTCTGCCGCGAGAGAGGAGCGGAGGTTCATGGAATTTATGAACCAATTCTAACTGCACTTCTAACTGTACTTATCAGTGCGTTAGAAGTACAGCTATAATTGGTAAGTAACCCTAAACCCTAAACCCTAAACCCTGAACCCTAAACCCTGAACCCTGAACCCTCAACCCTCAACCCTAAACCCTAAACCCTAAACTCTAAAACCCTAACCCCTATTAATTAATAAGTACCCTAAACCTCCAAGAGTGGGCGCGTGTCCTCAGGCTTTGCCCCCACCGAAGGCGTGATAAGGGATGGCTCCTTGGGAGCCTCTGGGATCTCCAAAGCCTTGCGAGTTTAGGGTCTAGGGTTTAGGGTTTAGGGTTTGGGGTTTAGGGTTTAGGGTTTAGGGTTTAGGGGTTAGGGTTTTAGAAATTTAGGGTTTAAGTTTAGGGTTTAGGGTTTAGGGTTTGGGGTTTAGGGTTTAGGGGTTAGGGTTTTAGAAATTTAGGGTTTAGGTTTAGGGTTTAGGGTTTAGGGTTTAGGGTTTAGGGTTTAGGGTTTAGGGTTTAGGGTTTAGGGTTTGGGGTTTAGGGTTTAGGGTTTAGGGTTTAGGGTTTAGGGTTTAGGGTTTGGGGCCCTCAGGCTTTAGGGTTTGGGGCTTGGGGTGTGGGAACTCGGGCTGGCATGCTGCAAGCACCGTAAGGTACAACAAAATTCCCAAGAAGCCCGCACTAACAGGAGCATAGAAGATCAAGAGGAGACAAGACCCAAATCTAATATGCAAATCATGCGTACTTTCGTCCTTATATGGGTAGTTCTCTAAAAGTTAGTGTCCCTTTCGGCGCGGGGACCCAAAAGGGGACCTTAGTTTAGAGACCCCCTGAACCCTAAACCTAAACCTAAAACCCCTAAACCCCAAAACCCCTGGCCCTAAACCCTAAACCCGAAACCCTAAACCCGTAGCTCCACTACTAGTTACTAAGTTCTGAGTAAAAACTCCGCATCATCCTGGAACTTAAGCACAAAAGATCAAATTTGGGTTTGGGGTTTGGGGTTTAGGGTTTAGGGTTTAGGGTTTAGGGTTGGGATGTTCCCCCTGATGCTAGCAGTCCTTAATCAGGATTCCAATCGGGGGGTACTGTCATCCCTAGCAAGGGCTGTTCGTAGAAGGGGGAACATCCCAAGGTTTAGGGTTCACGCGTGACACCTTGAGACCCGACCTCCGCTTCTGTGGGCTTCAAGGGTTCTGCAGTCCGGTTTAAAGTTTAGGGTTTAGGGTTTAGGGTTTAGGGTTTGGGGTTTGGGGTTTGGGGTTTAGGGTTCATGAATCTGCTCTTGAGCCTTCGGACACCTATCTTCATAGCCAGTTGCGGTCATTGCTCACCTGCGAACCCCTACGCACAAAAAGGGTTAGGGTTTAGGGTTTAGGGTTTAGGGTTTAGGGTTTAGGGTTTAGGGTTTAGGGTTTAGGGTTTAGGGTTTAGGGTTTAGGGTTTAGGGTTTAGGGTTTAGGGTTTTGGGTTGAACCCCAAACCCGATACTTCCGGCCTTCTCCAGCTGCGAGTGGATGATGTGAAGGGATCGCCGGGCCTTCCACCACACCGTCTGCTGGTTTATGGACTTCGGATCCCGAAACCCTAAACCCTAAACCCTAAACCCTCAACCCTAAACCCTAAACCCTAAACCCTAAACCCTAAACCCTAAACCCCAACCTAACCCCAAGGTTACTCTGAAATTTGGTTGGACTCAGGGTTCAGGCTCCTTTTTTTTTTGGGGGGGGGGGGGGGGTTCGAAGGGCTTTGGAGCTGTTTTTTGGGGGGAGAGGGGGGTGGGTGGTGAAGGCGTGGCCTAAGGCGTCCATGTACCTCGATAGTATGTGCTTGGGTCCCAGAGTCGGACATCAACCGACCCTCTGTTGCTCATAAAAAGTCTTGCACAGGAACCTAACGCCTCACTCCGAAACAAAGGGAACAAGGGCCCTACTCTGTGTCCTAGGAGTCCTTGGCGCCTGGTGCATTGAGAAATGCCTGCGGAATGAAGTGAAGCCTTCTTGGAAGTTCATGGGTGGTTCTAAAAACAGCCAAAAGTACCTTTGCTTATAAGCTTATGTAGGATAGCCCTACTTGTAACTACCCATGAACCTCCACGTCAACTTATAAGCCCCGAGCCCTGAAGCCTGAACACGAAGTCCTGAGCCTAAGTCCTACGTAAGCCCCGAACCCTAAACCCTAAACCCTAGACCCTAAACCCCCGAACCCTAAACCCTAAACTCTGAACCCGAAATCCTAAACCCTGAACCTTCAGGGTTTTCAGGCTTTTCAGCGCTTCGGGATCTCGAAGATTGGGGCCTTAAACGTTTGGTGCTTTTAAGGATTCAGGGTTCTGGATGTTGGGTTTAGGGTAGTCTGGGCTTAAGGGTTTAGGGTTTGCAGTGTTAGGGTGTCCGGGTGTTAGGGTGTGGGGTCTAGGGTTTAGGGTTTAGGGTTTCGGGTTTAGGGTTTAGGGTTTCGGGTTTAGGGTTTAGGGTTTAGGGTTTAGGGTTTAGGGTTTAGGGTTTAGGGTTTAGGGTTTAGGGTTTAGGGTTTAGGGTTTAGGGTTCAGGGCTTTTTGGGTTTAGGGGCGCTCGGGGGGTTCGCAGAAATGGGAACCCAGAGAGCCTCGAAAAGAAGCTGCTCGTGGTCCTTCACCCAACAAGGCAAGATGCCCTAATCCATGGGTTCCCCCCCCCCCCAACCCTCTGTAGGGTTTAGGGTTTAGGGTTTAGGGTTTAGGGTTTAGGGTTTAGGGTTTAGGGTTTAGGGTTTAGGGTTCAGGGTTTCGGGTTTCGGGTTTAGGGTTTAGGGTTTCGGGTTTCGGGTTTCGGGTTTAGGGTTTAGGGCTACTTTTGGGGCCTTAAAAATTAGAACAGGGTTTTGGAGTTTTTATCGTACATTTATAAAGGGACCATAAAGGAACACTATTAGCATTAATTCCGGCATCGCAAACCCCTGACCCCTATATTTGGGGGCCTTAGGGAACGTCAACTTCAGACTGCTTCCAACAAAAACAAGGAGAGGAAAGGGCGGAGGGGGGGAGGCGGGGCGGGAAGGGTAGTCAAGGGGGTAGCGAGGTGGAGGAGTGGAAACTTGCCAGGTTTGCCGCCGTTCTTGCTGTATCGATCCCCCACGTACCATGCATCGTGCTGTGAGTAGAACTCCATCTCGCACCACTGAAGACATGGCCACAGGGTGTAGGGGAAAGCAAGACTAACCACAGTTGCCGAACGAGCATCGATCCGTTCAATTCTTACAGCTGATCAACTGGCTAGGGTGTAGTGCGCTTAGGGTGTGGGGTTGAAAGCCATGCATTAGGCTGCTCTAACCGTTGGTCGAAATCCTGACACAAGACGCGGTCCTCTAGAATGAGCGCTATGTCACACTGAACGCTAGCTTGTCAGCAAGAGGGGTTTGGCTTGCGGCTTCAGCCCTAAACCCTCAACCCTGGGCTCACCCCGAGCCCCGGACAAAAACGTAGGCCCCAAAGGGCGTAGGGCTTAGGGCTTAGGGTCTAGGGTTAGGGCTTAGGGTTTAGGTTTTAGGTTTTAGGTTTTAGGGTTCAGGGGTTTGGGTTTAGGGTTTAGGATTTAGGGCTTCGGGTTGAGGGCTTTTGGGCTGATGGCTGTTTAAGGGGCCGTTCTTGGGCTCTTGGTTGCGGCGTCCTCGGCCTCGAAAGCGCTTTCCTTCCCCTCCTTGGCTGCGCAAGGGCCCAAGCTTGAAGTTTCGGTTTAGGGTTTAGGGTTTAGGGGTTAGGGGTTAGGGGTTAGGGCTTAGGGTTTAGGGTTCAGGGTACTTACTCTTTATAACCTTGTTTAGAGTGCTTACAACCCTACTTCTACATTGAGCCTTCGAGAGGGGCCCTGGCTTGAAGGATCATGGGGTTTAGGGTTTTAGGGTTTTGGGCTCAGGCTTTGAGGGTTTGGGGTTTAGGGTTTAGGGCTAAGGTTTTAGGGTTTAGGATTCTAGGGTTCTGGGTTTAGGCTTTGAGGTTTTAGGGTTTAGGGTCTATTTGGGATTCAAGGGCTGCTGGAAGGCTCATAGGGTTTAGCTCCGTAGGTTTTTTGTCAGGGATTTTGGGGCTTTAGGATCCTAAGCAAACAGCAAACCTCACATGAGTGACGGCCCAAAAGCCAGGACCAAGAAGTCCTAAGCCCTAAGCCCCATAGAGTAAACCCTAAGGCTCCTAAACCGAAAAGCCCCAAAGGACCCTAGTACACCAAACCCGCATTCCCCAAACCACAAACTTGTCGGGGTTTAGGGGCGGTTTAGGGTTTACGGTTTACAGTCGCAACCCTAAACCCTAAACCCCAAACCCTAAACCCTAAACCCTGAACCCCAAAGCCTACAAGAAGAGGCTAAGGGGGCTAAGGGAGCCCCTCAGAGGGCGCCGGGCGGCCAGGTCCGCGGCAAGGGCCACGATGTCCCAGCACAGGTCCTCGCTGAGGGTTCAGGGCTTTGGGGTTTAGGGTTTAGGGTTTAGGGTTTACGGTTTAGGGTTTAGGGCTAACCCTAAACCCTAAACCCTAATCCCCAAACCCTCGCATCCTGAAGCTGCAAAAAACATCCTGGACTCCAAGGAAACCTAACCGAGCCTTTGGTCTGACCCTAAACCCTAGTTTTAAACCCTCGTGCCCCTTATTGCAACAAGCTTCTTTAACCAACAAGCTTGTTTAACCCTAAACCCTAAAACCGTTATTACAACTCTAATCTGTTGATCTGTTGCTACCAAAAAAAGGCCACTTGTTTGTTGCAAAACAAATTGGTATTTCCCCAAATAGGGGTACCCCTGTTATACCCCAAATAGAACAGAACCCCCTCAAAGTGACGCCTCAAAAAGGGTACCCCTATTTTCGGAAACCCCCAAATAGGGTTTAGGGTTGTCTCACTTCTCTGGAGCCTCCGCTCACGGGCGAAGAGCTTCTAAAGAACCAGAATTTAGGGTTTAGAGTTCAGGGTTTCCCTAAACCCTAAACCCTAAACCCTAAACCCTACACCCTAAACCCTAAACCCTAAACCCGAAACCCTAAACTTTAGGGTTTAGGGTTTTAAGGTTTACGGTTCAGGGTTTAGGGGTTTAGGGCCTAACGGGAAACCCAAAGCCCAAGGCCCCGAACCTTAAAACCTAGGACGCGCGCTGGTACTCTTGTGATGGAGGGTTTAGGGTTTAGGGTTTAGGGTTTAGGGTTTAGGGTTTAGGGTTTAGGGTTTAGGGTTTAGGGTTTAGGGTTTAGGGTTTAGGGTTTAGGGTTTAGGGTTTAGGGTTTAGGGTTTACGGTGAGGATCACTTCTGAACCTGACTCCAAAAAAGTCCTTCAAAGCCCCGAAGCTTGCTTGTGTTCTTGGGTTTTGCGGTTTAAAGCCCTAACACCCAAACCCGTCACCCTAAATCCCTTAAACCCTGAAACCCTAAAAGCCTAAACTCCTGCAAGAACCTAAACCCTAAACCCTAAACCCTAAACCCTAAACCCTAAACCCTAAACCCTAAACCCTAAACCCTAAACCCTAGCAGGGCTGAGGGATTTGGGGTCCTAAACCCTAAACCCTAGACCCTAAAACCCTAAACCCTAATGTTAATGTTACATTTAAAAATGCGGTGAGAAGTATAATATTCGGCGGGCCCGAGGGTCCCGGTCCAAGACTGCTTTCCATTATGGGATGTCTGAACAAAGCTATACAAGGGGGGTCCAATGAAATAAAAAGGGAAATTGTTTTAGCGCTCCATCGCAGCAGAGCAGAGGACAAGTCGCAGAGCAAAAACAACCGCAGAGAGGAGGCAGAACCCTTGAAAACAAGCCAAAGCAGACCCTTCTTGACTGCTGACCCCCCCCCCCCAGACCCCCAGACCCCCGACCCACCTCGTTGCCACCTCCTCTTTGCCACCACCCCCAAAACCCCGAAAACCAAAACAAAACCTTATAAATGGAACCCTAACATTAAACCCTAAACCCCAAACCCCAAACCCCAAACCCTAAACCCTAAACCCCAAACCCTAAACCCTAAACCCTAAACCCCAAACCTTCGGCTCAGAAGAACTCTCCAACCCGCGCAGCTCCCGCAGCGACCGGTTCTGCTCGCGGGCTTGCGACAAGGCCTCCTGGAGCTCTTGCCAGGGTTTAGGGTTTAGGGTTTAGGGTTTAGGGTTAGGGTTAAAGGTTTAGGGTTTAGGGTTTAGGGTTTGGGGTTTGGGGTTTAGGGTTTGGGGTTTAGGGTTTAGGGTTTAGGGTTTAGGGTTTAGGGCTTAGGGCTTAGGGCTTATTGGAGATTTATGGGTAATCGTAAGTAGGGTTAGAAGTAGGGCAACTCTGGTTGTAACTGGTTATAATCATATTTAAAAGTACTTAAAACCCTACTTCTAACTACCCGTGAACCTTCAAGTAGGGCTCTGGGCTTAGGGTTTAGGGTCAATCGGGAAGAAGAGTTTCGACTTGAGGGCTACTGGCAGGTTCCGTATTACTTACAAGTCAGGCAATGATCAAGGCGAGCGTGTTGGCAACCTGGACCCCACTGACGGAAGGCGTGAATGAACCCTAAACCCCAAACCCTAAACCCTAAACCCCAAACCCTGAACCCCAAACCCTGAACCCCAAACCCTAACACCCCAAACCCTGACACCCCAAACCCTAAACCCTAAACCCTAAACTCTGCATCTGAAAGCTCGAGTCGAGCCATCCACCCAAGTTGAGGCTCGAGAGCTTAGGCAGCTTTCGGCTTTTTGGGAGTTGTGTGGGTTTAGGGTTTAGGGCTTAGGGTTTAGGATTTAGGGTTGTGGGGATTTAGGGTTTACGGTTTTAGTGGTTCTTTAAGGGTTTAGGGAGAAGTTTGTGGCTTACAGTATGTGTGGGGTTTCGAGAGCACCCATGCTTTAACTCGAGTTCGGGTTTAGGGTCTAGGGCGTAGGGTTTAGGGTTTAGGGTCTATAGGGCTTAGGTTTTTGGATTGCGGGTTTGAGGCCCTTCTGTTGCTTTGGGCTCTGGTTGCCTCGGGTGCTGGTTGTCCTGGTTTCGTAGGGCAAGCACAGAGTTGGACAGTGCTCCCAATCTGAAAAATCCAATCCCGAAACCCCAAGGCTCTAAATCCCAAATTCTCCATCCCAAACCAAGAACCCCTGAACCCCCTGACCCCTACACCCCTACCTCCCTAAACCCCCAAACCCCAAACCCCAAACCCCAAACCCTAAACCCTACACCCTAAACCCTAAACCCTAAACCCTAAACTCCCTGAATCCCCGGGCCTGGAGGCTCCCGGCCACGTTGCTCGGGGCGAACTGCACGGAGTTAAAGGAGGCGTCGCCTGAGAGGGCTTGGGCTTCGGGCTTATTAGGGTTTAGGGTTTAGGGTTTAGGGTTTAGGGTTTAGGGTTTAGGGTTTAGGGTTTAGGGTTTAGGGTTTAGGGTTTAGGGTTTAGGGTTTAGGCTGAAACCCCAAACCCTTCAGGCTTAGTAGGGTTTAGAGCATACAGAGCTTCAGGTAAGAGTGTTCAGGTGGGCCCGAACACCCCAAAAACCCCCAAACCCTGCTTGCAAGGCCCCCAAGAGGTATCGAGCTGACAGCTGAAGGCAACTACCCTACACTGGGGTTTAGGGTTTAGGGTTTAGGGTTTAGGGTTTAGGCTTTAGGGTTTAGGGTTTAGGGTTTAGGGTTTAGGGTTTAGGGTGTAGGGTGTAGGGTGTAGGGATTTTGGGGTTTCGGGTTTTGGACAATTACTTCCAGCCCAAAGTAAGGCCCAAACAGGGCGAAACGGATTGGGTAGCTAAGGGTAGCTAAGGTGGGTATAGTATCGGATTCTGTGAAACCACGAGCTTCTCCTATTCCCTAAAGAAACAGGAGAAGGAAAGGACCACCTGGAGAGAGGCACTCGAATACGGAAACCCACCGGAGCCAAACACTAGCGACGAAAGTCCCTCCAAGACGAAACTCTGAAAAACCAAGGCAAGCCCTCATTGGATCCTGAACCCCGTGCCCCAAACCCGGACTGAGACAGGGCAAATGAAGGAGCGTTGCCCCAATTGGAAGCACACCTTATGTTCCCCAAACTGCTGTAGTACTGTAGTTTTTTGAAAACCCCGCCTAAACCCTCAACACTGCACCCCAGTTATGACTAACCATTTGAAGGGTTTAAACCCCAAACCCAGCCCTCAAAAAAAACTCGAAATGCCCGAGAACCCTAAACCCTAAACCCTAAAGCCCTAAAGCCCTAACCTCAGACCCCAGGCCTTCCGTGATGGAGGCCAGGACGGCCTGGTCCAGCGCAAAGTGAAGCGACTTCCTGGGCACACTTTTTTTGGCGAGAACGTGCGGGGTTTAAGGCCTAAACCCTCAACCCTAAACTACCACGTGCTTAAGAACTTCCAACAAATAAACATATGTTCTTCCCTTGAGATGCCATATAGGGGTTATTCTGTTCTATTTTGTGGGGGGCGGGTTCTTCAGCAAATAATCGCAAACCCTAAACCCTAAACCCTAAACCCTAGGGCTGGGGTTTTCGGGCTGCAAGTTGAGCTCTAGCGGCTTGACATCAAGAGCACTTTGGTTTGGAGCGGGTTTAAGGTTTAGGGTTTGGGGTTTAGGGTTTAGGGTTTAGGGTTTAGGGTTTAGGGTTTAGGGTTTAGGGTTTAGGGTTTAGGGTTTAGGGCTTGGGGTTTAGGTTTAGGGTTAGACTTGGGGCATTTTTTTGCAGTTTGGGGTTCAGGGTTTCAGGCGGAGCGTTTCTTGGAGGTTTATGCACAGCAATAAAATTGGGTTCCAAGTTCTCTTTCTAAGGCTGTACTTACAAGTAGGGTTCTATGTTCCCTTGATAATTAAGGGTAAGTAGGGTTCTAAATAACCTCACACAGGTTGTAACCAGTTGTAGTCATAGCTCACTTCTAACCCCACTCCCTAAACCCTAAACCCTAAAGTCTGCACCCTACACCACTTAGAACTGCCCCTGACCAACCCCGCCGCGGGATCCGAGGCTGGGTGCAGGATCTCTTTCCCTAAGCCATCCCAACCCCTAAACTTTAAACCCTAAACCCTAAACCCTAAGCCCTAAGCCCTAAACCCTAAACCCTAACCCTAAACAGGGGAGTTTGTTGAATCTGTTTTGGGGGGTCCCTTGTCGGGGGTTTAGGGTTTTTGGGCTTAGGTCTAAGGTGCGCTTGATCTGGGCTATGAAAGAGGAACTTGGCTACCCTAAACCCTGAACCCTGAACCTCTTAACCCTAAACCTCGCAAAGATTCCGTAGTTTGGGCTTAGGATGACCTGGGCATGGAAGCCCGACATAAGGGGGTACCCAAGATACGACAACCCTTATCATGGCACCCTCCAGAGGGTACCCTTCCCCCTCCCCCCCCAAATTTGGGGTTTTAGGGTTTGAGGTTAGGATGTTTTGGGAAGCCTTTGTACTCTATGCACTCTGAACCCCTTTTATGTTGAACGCAGACAGGAGGCTCACTGTCGCGAATCAGCCCGTCTTTGCTCACGCCGATGCCCGCGAAACCCTTCCCGGTCGAGGGGTCATCCAAGCGTCAGAGCTTAGGGCAGGGTTTAGGGTTTGGGATTTAGGGTTTAGGGTTCAGGGTTCAGGATTTAGGGTTTAGGGTTTAGGGTTTAGGGTTTAGGGTTTAGGGTTTTAGAATTTTGGGTTTAGGGTACGCAGGTTTCGGGTTTTGGGTTTTTAGGTTGTGGTTTGGAATTTACGACAGGGTCCTACACCGTCAGAGGAGCATCCGGCTGCCAACAAAGAGGCCCAGTAGGCGCGGGGTACCGCTCCCCGAAAGCCCGATGAGGCCTCCTTCATCCTTGTCACTCCTTTCTTACGTCGCCGAACCTTAAACCCTAAACCCTAAACCCTAAAACCCTAAATCAAAAGGACAAAGCCTCAACAGCTACCCTACACGATGCGCAGTGGTATTTTTATTCCTTTTCCAAAGATGGGATTCCCTCTAAACCTGATCAATCCGGCAAACAAAATGACCCCTAAACTCTGAAGCCCATATCCCCGACACTCCTTCAACCCTGAACTCTGAATCAACCCTAACCCTTCACCCTCAACCCCACCCCCTACACCCTCGACCCTAAATACACCCTAACCCAAACCCTAAACCCGAAAAACCCTAAACCCGAAACCCCGAAAACCCTGAGCTCTGAACCCTAAACCCTTAAACCCCAAACCCTAAACCCTAGCCCTAAACCCTAAACCCCAAAAACCCTAAACCCTGTAAACCCTAGACCCTGAACCCTTGGCGCTCGGCCTCGCTGGTGATGCCGAAGATGGGCCAACTGCTCGGATCGAGCGATGCCAGCTCCCACTGGGACCTGAGGGTTTAGGGTTTAGGGTTTAGGGTTTCGGGTTTCGGGTTTCGGGTTTCGGGTTTAGGGATTAGGGATTAGGGTTTCGGGTTGAGGGTTTAGGGTTTAGGGTTTACCGCCAAACCCAAGGTTTTGCTCTAGCGGTTTAAGGTTTAGGGGTGGCTTACGGGTTTAGGGGTCTGGGTGTCTAGACTTTAAGGGGCTCGGGGTTTCGGGGCTCAGGGTTTCAGGCGAAGGGCCGACAGCTTCGCGTGGAGAGTCCCAATACCCCTTCTTACGGGTCTGCACGCGCATAGTGTTTGAGCCAAGTGCCCCATTTGGAGGTTCATGGGTCATTATAAGCAGGGCATAACCATACACGTACCTGAGTAGAACCCTATTTGGGGCATCTACAACCCTGCATAAAACTACCCATGAACCTTCAAGTAGTTAAGGGGTCCATGTTGGGGTCCAGTTTTTGTTTCGAGTTTTTTATGTTTTTTTTTAATATTTTTCATGGTTTAGGGTAGGGTTTAGGGTTTAGGGTTTAGGGTTTAGGGTTTAGGGTTTAGGGTTTTGGGTTTTGGGTTTTGGGTTTAGGGTTTAGGGTTTAGGGTTTAGGGCTTTATTCTCACCTAAAACCGAAAAAAAAAAAAAAAAAAAAAAAAAAAAAAAAAAAAAAAAAAAAAAAAAAAAAAAAAAAAAAAAAAAAAAAAAACAATCAAAATACGAAAAAAAAAACACATCAACCTCCATGTTGGGCCCTGTGTACCGAGATCTCAACGCATCGTTTACGCTTCAGGGCTTAGGGTTTGGGGTCTTGGGGCGCTTAGCCACACCCTCCCCGCTGTATCAGGTGCTGTACAATCTCGGGTTTAGGGTGTTTAAGGTTTAGGGTTTGGGGTTTGGGGTTTAGGGTTTGGGGTTTAGGGTTTAGGGCTTAGGGCTTAGGGTTTAGGGTTTAGGGCTTAAGCCCACAAACCCTCCACCCGCCTCTCTTCTGGCACCTGGGGTGCCTCGGATCCGCTGCCACCCGACGCCCCAGACATCACCTTCTGCACCTGCGAAGGGTGGTAGAGTCGGTAGACGGTAGGAGGGCTTTTTTGTTTAGGGTTTAGGGTTTGGTTTAGGGTTTGGGGTTTGGGGTTTGGTGTTGGTGGCGCCGGCTCGGGAGTGTAGAGCCGACAAAGCCCCAAACCCTCACCTTCAGCCCAATGCAACCCTAAACCCTAAACCCTAAACCCTAAACCCTATGCCCTAAACCCTAAACCCCTATGCCCTAAACCCTAAACCCTAAACCCTATGCCCTAAACCCTAAACCCCTATGCCCTAAACCCTAAATGAAGAAGCATAAGCCAGATGTCGCCCTTAGCCCGCCGAGAGCCCAGAGCCCTGGGAGAACGATTCGCAGCATGGCACCCGAGACCCTGAACCGTCACAGCATCCTTTGGTCACCAAACCCTAAACCCTAAACCCTAAACCCTAAACCCTAAACCCTTCGCTTACGAGCCAGGGGCGCCCTTAAGAAGTGATTACTTTAGGGCCGTTTAGGGCCTGGGGTTGAGGAACTCGGGTTTCGGGGCTACAACACCCTACTTCTAACCCCTGCCTAGAACAACCCTGAACCGACAAGTAAGCACTGAAAGCCCGTTCCCTAAACCCTAAACACCTAAACACCTAAACCCCAAAAAAACCCTAAACCCCTAAACCCTAAACCCAATCAGTCTGAACCCTAAACCCTAAACCCTAAACCCTAAACCCTAAACCCTAGCTGCTTTTTTAATTTTTCGCACCTGCAGCTGCATGGGCATGTCGTCCTCCAGGGGGTTGGTCTTGCTGGACATGCTGGCTCTCGAGATGCAGAGCCGCATCGGCATTCCATCATCCTGTGCACGACATGAGCTGTAAGTGGGGTTTAGGGTTTAGGGTTTAGGGTTGAGGGTTTATTAGGGTTTAGGGTTTAGGGTTTAGGGTTTAGGGTTTAGGGTTTAGGGTTTTGGGTTTTGGGTTTTGGGTTTTGGGTTTTGGGTTTAGGGTTTAGGGTTTAAGGTTTAGGGTTTAGGGTTTAGGGTTTAGGGTTTAGGGTTGAGGGTTTAGGGTTTAGGGTTTAGGGGGGCCCGAAGCGCTGAAACCCAACCTTTAAAGCAAGCTTTTCAACCAACCAACAGGCACCCCTAAACCCTTCAAACGCTATGCCCTGCCACCCCCGAAAAAGAAGCTTGAAAGGGCTCTACAGTACGGAACTCCTTGTGCAACCTCTTCTTGGTCATGTTATCTGTTTGGGGTTTTTTTACTTTACAAGGGAAACCTTGAACCAAAGAACACAGGAAAAGAATACCCACTGAACCAAGCAAGCCTTAGCTCACATGCAGCCCGGGCGTCGTCGTTCAGTGGGTTGGTCTTGGAGGATGACATAGTCGGTCGAAAGAGCAGAGAGGGTAGGCGAGGCGACTGCAGGCGAGGCGTGGTGGGCGCGGATGTCTGCGTGGAGACTTCCTGTGTCCTGGACCCAGCCCTCCAAAGCCCCAGGTCTAAACCACCCTAAAGCTAACATTCTTAGGGTAGTTACATGGTCCTTTAGTTATGGGCCCTTATTTGAGGACCCCTTATATACCCCATATACCAAATATACATAACCCAAGAGAACGCTTTTCAAGAAGGAAAGGGACCATATTGAGGGATGAAACAACCCTTGGACATAAAAAAACCCTCGACCGCTAAGCCTTCAGACCCTAACACCCTGGTCGAAACATCCTAGAGGTTGATTGAAGGGTTCTGGTTGCGGCTTCAACACATCTAAACCCTGGCACCTGAATGCTTTCGCCAACAAATCCCCCGAAAATTTCCCTAAAACCTTCCATGGGATCTACTCTAAGAGCCCGACACCCTCCGAAAGTTGCTTTTCCTCAAGCTTCGGCCCCTTAACTTCCAAAACCTCGAAGCCCCCAAACCTTAAACCCTAGCCCCTAAACGCCAAGCCCTAACCCTAAACCCTAAACCCCAAACCCTACGACCTAAAGCCTAAACCCTAAACCCTAACCCCTAAACCCTGCCTCCTGGCCCTGGGCTTTGGGGCGGCGCTGGTCGCTTTGGCCACGGCCTTGGCCTTGGCCTCAAGGGAGGGGGAGGGGGGAGGGAGGGGGGGGGGGGGCGAGGATGCCTTTTCGGGTTTAGGGTTTGGGTTTGGGGTCTAGGGTTTGGGGTTTAGGGTTTGAGGTTTAGGGTTTGGGGTTTAGGGTTTGGGGTTTAGGGTTTGGGGTTTGGGGCTTGGGGTTTTGGGTTTGTGGTTTGGGGTTTGGGGTTTGGGGTTTGGGGTTTGGGGTTTAGGGTTTAGAGTTTGGGGCTTGGGGTTTAGTAGGGTTGGGGTTTGGGGTGTAGTGAGAAGTTCGGGCATTGGCGGGGTCGGTTCCGGGAATCCAGAATTTTTGGGGTGTAGGGTCCAGGTCGGGGCATTTGGGCGCTTATTGGGGTCTAGTGCAGTTATGGGTTCCAAGGCATTTTGGGGTTTTACCAGGGCATGTCAGCTCGATGCTGAAGGTGGGGTTTAGGCGGTTTAGGGTTTAGTTCTGGGTTGGGGGCCTCGGTTTAGGGTTTAGGGTTCAAGGCTCAGTGTTCCGGTTTTAGGGGTTCGGGGGGGGGGGGGGGGGGGGGGAGGTTGGGGTTTAGGGTTTAGGGTTTAGGGTTTAGGGTTTAGGGTTTAGGGTTTAGGGTTTAGGGTTTAGGGTTAGGGGTTTAGGGTTTAGGGTTTAGGGTTTAGGGTTTAGGGTTTAGGGCTTAGGGCACAACAGCAGCGGCCTCAAGGAACCCCCGTGTTAAAATCCAGCTTCCGGATTCGCAGTTCAGGGATGTACCCTACATCCTCCGCCCCACCTTCTGGGCAGACCCTACTTGGAGGTTCATGGTACTTATTAACCAATGAAAACTGTACTTATCGCCATATTAGGGCACTTAAGGGGCTTACAAGTGAGTTATAAGTGCAGCTATAATTGGTGAATAAGTACCATGAACCTCCAAGTAAACCCTAAAACCTCTAGAAGCATCTACCTGGATCAAGACTGTGCTGTTTTAGGAACCAGGGACCCCTAAAATAGACCCGGCCAAATATAGTAGGATCCGCTAATAATAAGGACCCCAATGAATTACCCCTAAACCCTAAACTAGGGGGTCGGTGCTTCAACCTAAGCGAGGGGGGGCTTCGGGCTCTTAAACTTCCAGGGCTCGAGCAGTTAGGGCCTTAGGCGATTTAAGGTTCAAGCTGTTTAGGGTTTAGGGCTTCGGGCTTCGGCTCGAAACACCCGAAAACCCACCGAAAATCCCCTGAAAGTAAACCTAACCCTGAACCCTAAACCCGAAACCCTCAACCCTAAACCCTAAACCCTAAACCCTCACCCTAAACCCGAAACCCGAAACCCTATACCCGAAACCCTAAACCCTAAACCCAGCCTTCGGAGGAGGGCTGAGGCGATCCCTGGACGCGCTGGGACGTGCGCGCGGCGGGGGCGACGCCATGGGGGGCGGAAGCCGGCCGTTGGGGGGTAAGAATGAAGAGATGCCCCCCTGAAGAGAGGCTCAGAGACCCTAAACCCTAAATCCTAGCCCTAAACCCTTAACCCTATAAACCCTAAGCCCTAAGCCCTAAGCCCTAAGCCCACCCTTGAGACATCTTGAGACGGAGTCTGGGGAAGGCTGCCCGTTTGTCGCTTTCGTCTTCTCAAACCCCCTCGGTATCCAGCTTGAGCCCTGCACTGCACAGCGCCACAGAGATCTGAAACTCTAAACTGAAATCCGACATCCATATGGGAGTTTACGAAAATTAAGGACCCCGACAATAGTAGGATTCTCTTTTGATAAGGACCCCCAACAATGGACCGCTAATTTCGGAAACCCCCATACAGGACCACAGCGAGTTTTGGGTGATCTGTTTATGTGGTGTATCAGCAGGAGCCTTAAAAAGCCAGGAGCGGTCATGGGGATGTTAATGACACAAAAGCATCGCCATAATAAAACACTTTAACAAAATAGCAACAACATAGAAATCATGATAACCCAAACCCCTAAACCCCGAAACCCTTAAACCCCTAAACCCGAAACCCCTGAGCCCCAAAACCCTACATCCTAAACCCTAGACCCTGAACCCCGCTGAAAAAATGAGTCTGGCTTTAGGGCCTGGGCTTGTTGCTTTGCGACCTTTCAGGGCTGTAAAGGGCTTTCGGATCCTGATCAAACCAGGGTTTAGGGTTTAGGGTTTAGGGTTTAGGGTTTGGGGTTTAGAAGGGTGCCTGACCAAAAGCCCATCGAAGCCCGAATGCCTGAGAACGCATCCTCACAAAAAGAGCACGTGATAACCTAAGTGCGATTCATAATGAGTAGCAATTATCATCAAATAGGATGATCATCATCATCACCACCACCATCATCATAAGAACCGCACACCTAGACGATAACATCAAACAGAATCATGCCCAACTCTCTCCACCCCCTCCACCCTCTCCACCCCCTCCACCCTCTTTCAAACACAAGCCCTAAACACTCAACCCCAAACCCTAAGTCCTAGCCCTAAACCCTAAACCCTACACCCTACACCCCCTAAACCCTCAACCCCCTAAGCCGGCTTCGCCCTTTTGCCCGAGAGCAGGCCAAGGTCGTAGCACTGGGACATGCCGATGCGCTGCCAGGGGGGGCGCTCGGCCATCCACTGGGGGCCTTCCCAGGGGCTTTCGATGTTTCTAGGGTTTAGGGCTGGGTTTAGGGTTTGGGGGTTAGGGTTCAGGGATTTCGGGGGGGCTTTGGGGGCTTTTGGGGGTTTTGTGGGGGGCTTTGGGGGCACGTTTGGAGTTTTGTGGGGGGATCTTCGAGTTTCGTGGGTTTTTTGAGGCTTTAAGACCTTTATGGCAAACCACATGAGTATTGCTGCTTCTTAGCAAGAAGGGCTCTAATACAACCTGAACCCCCAACAAAAGCTATGTTCAAGACCCCCTTTTACCACCCTCCCACCCCCCCACCCCCCTACCCCCACCCTACCTCCCCCTCTCCCTCCCCTACCCTAAACCCTAAACCCTAAACCCTAAACCCTAAACCCTAAACCCTAAACCCCCACCCCCCTCCCCCCCACCCAACCCTAAACCCTAAACCCAGGCCTTGGTTGTGAAGGCAGTGCCACTTGGGCTCGGCACCCGGGCGACTTGCCGGTATCTCGGGGTCCCCATCCGGCCCGGCCAGTTTTTGCACCCAGTTACCTCCGTCGAGCACAAGATGATGATAACTACAACTATCATTTTGACTGACAATTGCAACTGAAATGGAGAACTATAGTTCTAGTTGAGATTCTGATTGTGCCTATGATGTTTCAGGGTGCTTCAAGGCTACCCAAGGCTACCGAAATCACCCAAAGCTGTGTCAAAGAGGCCAGTCACGGAGCTGCTGCTCGGAAGGTCTCAGCGTGATGCTGACGTGCGGCTCCTGGCAGCACGTCCTCACGAAGTTCTCGGCCCCACTGCAGTGCGTGTCCACGATGCGCTCGCGCTCGTACACATAGCCTCCGGGGTAGCTCGGGAGGCCGAGCCGACCTCGCTGCCGGCGACATCGCCCGTGACGTCGCCACAACCCATGCCGACACCAGAGGTCCCCTCCAAACTCCAGCGTGTCCGGGCGGCAGCAGTGCGCTGGCACGTATCTGCAGTGCGCCACGCGCAAGTAGGGTTCCCTCTTCACCTCCCAGGTGCCTCCCTGATGCCACACTTCGGCAAAGGCAAAGGACAGCCTCTCCGGCCACACAGCATGCCCCGAGACAGAGGTCATGTAGCGGAGACACAGGCCAGCATGCAGCAGAGCTTGGAGCAGAAAACGCTCGTAATTCAATGGCGCTGAGGCGGAGGAGGATGTCCGAAGTCTCGCATAACCGTTTACTTCCTCAAGCAAGGCCCAGGAGTTTAAGGTATCCACAAAACCCTGGATCACTCTTGCCCCGGGCCTCTCCATGATGAAGTATCGGTCATTTATCCCAGAATACTCATTGGTGTCCAGGCACCAGACTGTCGTGCGCTCTGGACACCTGGCAAAGCCCCAAAGCCCCAAAGCCCTGAAACCTCGGAGCCTAGGACCTCAAACCTTGGAGCCTGAAGGCAACAATGACCGTCTTGTCTCAGAACGCACCATCATCATCATCGTCATCGTCATCATCATCATCATCATCATCATCATCATCATCATCATCATCATCACCATCACCAGTGAAACCGCAAACGAAACAAGAAGCGCAACAAGAGTAAACCCTATGCACTAAACCCCGAAACCTTAAAACAGGACTAGATGCATTCGCTCAGCCCCCCTGAGCCCTGAACGCCAAACCCTAAACCGGAAACCCTAAACCCCAAACCCTAAGCCCCAACCCCAAACCCCAAACCCCAAACCCTAAACCTTAAACCCTAAACCCCAAACCCTAAACCCTAAACCCTGGGCCTGCTGGCTTCCAGCAACTCCACGCCGGGGTGCGCGGCCTTCCACACATGATCCGTGCGGGTGAAGGCCACGAACTTGTACTGGAAGCCCCTCTCGCCTTTTCCGGGCTTTCAGGCTTGGGGTTTAGGCTTTAGGGTTTCGGGTTTAGGGTTTAGGGTTTAGGGTTTGAGCTTTGGTTTAAGAATTTGGGGTTTAGGATTTAGGTTTAGGGTTTAGGGGGGTTTAGAATCCGTTGTTGTCTTGAGGGTTTCTGCTGCAGCTTAGGGTTTATGTTTGTGGGTTTAGGGTTTACGCGTTCGGGTTCGGGTTTAGGGTTTTGGAGTTCGCCGGCTCTCTGAAAATCGACTGCCTTGAAGGCTACTTGTCCTACCTGCTCCCGTTCCAGAGAATTATGCCCAGCTCCTCGTGGGCAAAACACTTTACCAGGCGGTTAAGGGCATAGGGGCTTCTTCTAAAGCATCCCGAGAAAGAACCCAACTGCCTTCAACTTTGTCAAGGGCATCCACACATTGGGCCCACTGGCGATTCATCGGCTGGTTCATGAAGGGCCTCCCCCGCACCCCGCGCCCTTGCAGGAGGTACGGCAGATAGGACCGGTTCTCCAGGTGGCCCTTGCGAAGCTGCGCGAGCCAACCTGCGTTGCCCGTCTGGTTGTCGGTCTGGAAAGCTCGAAGCCGAGGGGAGGAGGACATGTAGTCCTCGAAGGCCTTGGAGGGCTCGTAGCCGGGATGCTTCGACAGGAAGAAGAAGGAATCAGCGTCCAGCGGATCCAGGACAAAACGGTCCAGGAGCTGCAGAAGCAACACGTCATGCAAGCCTTGCAAGGAGTCCCAGCCAGTCGCTTGAAAAGCCTCGGTCAACTCTAAGGCTAACTCTAAGGAGGTGCAAATGCTTATACTATTCGCTTCACCACGTCGATTATGCAATCCTAGCGATTTACAGTTTACAGGCTTGAAGGCTCGGACCCTGATCCTGAGAACCCGGAACCCTGAACCCTAAACCCTAAACCCCAAACCCTAAACCCTAAACCCTGAACCCTAAACCCTAAAACCCTAAACCCTACACCCCAAACCCTAAACCCTAAACCCCAAACCACTTGCAGCCCGGAAGCGAGGTCACCTCTCTGAAGTGCACCCGCCACGCAGACGGCCGTCAGCCGACCCTCTTCATGCCCGGCCCCAGACCTGAGCCGGTTTTTTTTTCGAAACCTTCGGTCTCTGGGGCTTAGGGGTTTAGGGGTTTAGGGGTTGCGGGGTTTAGGGGTTTAGGGGTTTGGGGGTTTAGGGGTTTAGGGGTTTAGGGGTTTGGGGGTTTAGGGGTTTAGGGGTTTTGGGGTTTAGGGGTTTAGGGGTTGGGGCTTAGGGCCAAAAAACCTTGGCAAAGTGAATCACACAGATGATCCAAGCCCTGGTGACCCCCCTCCCCCGCCCCCGCGGCCCGTGGTTCATGGCGGGTTTGGTCCATTCCCCGCCTCCCTCCGCGGTTCATGGCGAGTGTAAGCTGAAGATTGAATTTAGGGTTTCGGGTTGCCTTGAAGGTTCAAGATGGAGCTCCCATCTCCGGTTCGAAGTTTGGGTTAGGCTTGAGGGTTTAGGTTTGGGTTGAAGGTTTTGGGGTTTGGAGACAAGCATGGGGGTCGGGCAAAGATGGCGTCTGCATGACTTCTTTCCCTTCCGGGAAAAGCAAGTCCCTTGCCAGGGATCACTGGTCTAATGAGGGAAATCATACGAATCATACGAAACGGCACATGACCGGATCTTGCAAAGCTTGCAATAGCTAGGGCTATGACAGCTATGAGCATTGTGGCAGGTGCAAGGTGCCAATTTGCATACCGATTCCCTCGCACCGCACCACACCCGCCCAACCCCCACCACCTTCGCCCGGCACATGCACACACAGAGACACACACACACACACACAGAGTCCATCCTTTACAAGCCCCAATGGTCCCACATGCTGTTCACAAGCGTTCCGCGTAGACCTTACCCGTAACCTGCCGAGAAGCACCAGCCCTGCCCAGGCCAGAACCAGTGCCGGAATCGCCGTGCCATAGCTACGAGTCCGTGGGCATGTGCTCATCCACTTGTGACAACACACATGCTAACCTCTCTTGCGGTGCGGTGTTGGATTGAATGCTGTTGTCTAGATTGCCTCCAAATGTGGAATGATGGTTGGGTTGGCTGGCATGTGTCTGCTGCAGGTCAAAAAACAGATGCATGTTAGGTATGACGGGGTGGCAGTGAAGCACGCGAAGCTGCACGACGGCAGGCATCGTATAAATTACACATTCATGAGGCAGATTGACTGCAGTCCCGACATCTCACATCACAATGGCCATACCGAAAGCTCAAGATTTGCTCTGTTTCCAACATTGACCATGTGTTTGATATAAACCACAACGGCAACACATGTCAAAACAGGAGAACACAGCTGCACCCCCCCAATCGGCACCGTCTTTGGCAACCATCAAAGCAAAGCACCTCATCATGCTCGCGCAAGAAGCACTCGAAACAACCACCCGTGGCTGGTGCCATGAGCGTGCCCCTCATCAGCGCGCCCGATCCATGCCATTCGCAGAGCTGTCATGGACATGACCTCCCCGTCTTCACACACATGTTTCACACATGCTTCCACTGAGGGTTGTGGCTTCTAAGAATAGTTCTAAACCTGTGTTCGAACTTGGTGTCGTCTCGAACCAACTTCTTAGCGACTTCAATCCGACTCGACTCTTGAAACACTTCAGGCGTCTTCAATGTTAAGTGCCAGTCAGAAACTTCTCTATTTTTCCAGATTTTACTCCACGAAGTGGAGACTGGCAAGTATTGCGTTATCCTTCTTCTTGTCTTTGCACTTGTGCCACCAACCGGGAAAACACCGACGGCAAAGCCTGTAGCCTCGGTTGATGGCTACACCCATGGCTTGAACTCGCTGATTCCTCCAAGTGTCTTTGGTTGAATGATATTTGAAGTTACGTGGAACAGCTTACACATATTCATGCAGCTTTTTGCTGGGGTTCCCATTTCAAACGCGTGCTCACAGCGAAGAGTACAAAGCACTCCTTTTTTTTGGCTCACTGAACCTTCTGAACCTTCGGGCGCCGATGACGGTGGCGGAAGGCACTAGAGATTTAGAGCATCTCGTGGAAGGCAAGCGGCGACAGAGAGAAGTGCTTGGGTTTAGGGTTTAAGGTTTACGGCTTAGGGCTTGCGCACGATGTGGAGGAGGTGGAGCAGGCGGGCAGCATGTGGGTGTTCTTGGCCACTCGGCGGCCGTGATCGCGTTGAAACGCGACGAAAGTGTGGCGCAAAGGCGAGCAAACCCAGACCAGGAGGGCCTACCAAAGTGATCATATCGAGTTTGATCATGGGAATCAAGAAACGGCTGCATGGGCGACCCCGGTTTGGGGTTCGTTTTCTAGCTTCAACTTACCCTCGAGAGCCTGTGCCCTCACAGTAATGGTTTTTAAATTCATGGAGGCCGCTTTCCAAGCGTAGCGCACGATTGCTTGGAGCAAAAGAAGAGAGTGGAATCTGATGCGAGTAAACCAAATGCTGTCTTTTCCCGAGTCCAAATTCAAGACACGCAAAGAGAAACAAGCAACACAGAACAGAACAGATGGCCTCCACAGTCTCCTTGCAATTCACCTTGCTAACCCTTGTCCATGTGCCATTTCTAACAAGCCAGTTTCCGCGCATCTTTCTTTGCTTTATGTTTTTGACTAGCAATGGAAACATCGCTCCCAGGGATGCTCGAACTCCCGACCTTGAGGTGAACAGCCTCACGCTCTAACCAACTAAGCTATGGAAGCACTTGTAGTAGTAGTAGTAGTAGTAGTAGTAGTAGTAGTAGTAGTAGTAGTAGTAGTAGTAGTAGTAGTAGTAGTAGTAGTAGTAGTAGTAGTAGTAGTAGTAGTAGTAGTAGTAGTAGTAGTAGTAGTAGTAGTAGTAGTAGTAGTAGTAGTAGTAGTAGTAGTAGTAGTAGTAGTAGTAGTAGTAGTAGTAGTAGTAGTAGTAGTAGTAGTAGTAGAAGTAGTAGTAGTAGTAGTAGTAGTAGTAGTAGTAGTAGTAATAGTAGTTGTAGTAGTAGTAGTAATAGTAGCAATAGTAATAGTAGTAGTAGTAGTAGTAGTAGGAGTAGTAGTAGTAGTAATAGTAATAGTAGCAGTCGTAGTAGTAGTAATAGTAATAGTAGTAGTAATAAGTCATAATAGTAGTGGTCGTGTAGTAGTAGTAGTAGTAGTAGTAGTAGTAGAATAATCGTCGTCGTAATAGGTCATAATCGTCGTAATAGTAGTAGTCGTCGTAGTAGTAGTAGTAATAGCAGTAGTAATAGTAGTAGTAGTAGTAGTAGTAGTAGTAGTAGTAGTAGTAGTAGTAGTAGTAATAGCAGTAGCAGTAGTAGTAGCAGCAGTAGTAGTAGTAGCAGTAATCGCAGTAGTAGTAGTAGCAGTAGTAGTAGTAGTAGCAGCAGTAGCAGTCGCAGTCGCAGTCGCAGTCGCAGTAGTAGTAGTAGTAGTAGTAGTAGTAGTAGTAGTAGTAGTAGTAGTAGTAGTAGTAGTAGTAGTAGTAGTAGTAGTAGTAGTAGTAGTAGTAGTAGTAGTAGTAGTAGTAGTAGTAGTAGTAGTAGTAGTAGTAGTAGTAGTAGTAGTAGTAGTAGTAGTAGTAGTAGTAGTAGTAGTAGTAGTAGTAGTAGTAGTAGTAGTAGTAGCCCGCCCATGCGCGCTGGGGGGGTGGGGGGGGGGGGGGCGGGGTGGGGGGGAGATGCATAGCCGTCAACGCCGCCGTATGCGGCATGTGCAGATGGGCGATAGCCGGGGTCATCGTGAGGGCAGCCTCCACTGCACCTATTCTAGCTTTAACAGCGGCAGGCAGAGTGCTTCCCTCAGCCTCCAGATAGAGAGCACGCGCCCAGACTTGAGGGGCTTGTGGCAACAGCAACAGGGCATGCGATGCATTGCCGCTAGACGAGAGCAGTAGGGGTCTTTGTGTAAGGTCATATCTCGTCTGCTTGGCTTGGCCTTCTTTGATTTGCTCCATCTCCAAGCGGTTATTGCATATGAATTGGCGGTATGGATGATGCTGCCCGTGACAGAGGTTGGTGCGCTAGCACCTCTACCAGTCATTCCGCTAACAAAGATGGACCGACAATCCCCAGCGGGGGTGAGATGAGGTGGTGGGGGCGGGTGCTGATATGCTGCGAATCCCAAGGCCTGAATGGCATGCTGCGCCCTAAGGGCAAGGCTTTCATCCCAGTGTCGCCGGAAGTGGGCAATAGTTGCTAGCGAGCCAGGGACAAAGAGCTGCCACGGGGTTTCTGCCCCCGCAAAGAAAGCATGCGCCGCACACGCCAAAACAACCAAGGGCCCTCTCGGGGCGTTGGGTCGGCTACGCCACTTGGGCGATGCTGAGCAAGACGACAGGAACCCCCGCTTCCAGTGCATTACAGGGGAGGCCCCACACACCCGAAGCCAGAATTGCCTAGATTTTTCGACCCCAGATTTGAGGTCACAGAATTACAGCTGCAAGTCTCACGCGCACACGGCCTTCTGCTTCTACTATACACTTCCAGCTAATAGTCACGTGCTCTTCCCGCAACTCTACCCCAGCCCACTTGCGCGGCGTTGCTAATCAAGATTAGAGGGGCGGAGTCGGCGGAGTCCTCGCAAGATGCAATTAACTAAGAGAGTGCCGTGGAGTTCTAGGTTTCCCGGAACAACAAAACAATGTTTTTTAATTCGGGAACACAACGACTCCGCCGTTCGCGGGCAGCTCGCCACCTTGGTCCGTTTTGTTAAGACTCTACGGGGGTGGAGGGCCACCACCACGCAGCAGGAAAGTGACCTTCGCTATGTTCTCAAGCAGGTTAAGCCGAGGCAGGAACTCGGTCTGCTAGCACTTGCTGTGGAAATCAAGCCCCCTTCCCAGCCTCTTCAAAACACAGTCAACCCCCCCTAACGCCAACCCTTTCAAAGAAGTTACACCCAACCCAGCCCCTTCATAGCATGGTCAAACCCGCCCAAGCTTCAAAACATGGTCAAACCCATCCCAGCCCCGTCAAAGCATGGTCAAAACCATCCCACCTTCAATACACGGTTAAACCCACCCCACCCACCCGCACCCCTTCTAAACAGGCCCAACCCACCCCGAGTCCATTCAAAACAAGGTTAAACCCACCCCAGTCCATTCAAAGCATGGTCAAACCCAGCCAAACCCACCCCAAACCCACGCTGAACCCACCCCAAACCCACCCGCTATTCTTAGTTTCTTCAAACATGGTCAAACCCACTCCAAACCCACGTGCACCCTGTCGCTGGAGACGTCGCCTGTCCTCAAAATCTTCTTCTTCATTGGGCGCATGGCAACTTAAAATTCGGGCCTGCAACACGCTTGAATATCTTTTCTGTTCAAAGTCCAAGCCTGCAAAAAACTTCTTTCATTCTGCAGTCCAGTCTGCACAACCGTAGAAAACATTAAGGCCACGTTGGTCAACTTTCCAAAACGTAACTTCTATCCACAGAAAACACCAACAAAGACCTGCAGCTCAACTGGCGGGCCAGCAGCATTGCCAGGACGAAGTCCAAGTTATGGGAAAGTCGGACTTTCAGGGCCGCAAAACACAAGCAATTCTGGCTTCGCCAGGCCGCGAAATGGACCCAGCTT